TTTGACAGACCATGCCAAAAAGATTCTAGAGAGGATCAATGAAATAGAAGCAGAAGTGGTGAATTCCCACAAGGCAAAAGAGAAATGTTCCCTACTCAGATTAAAAAATCAAAAAAACACAAAAAAACAAAAACCAAACATTCCTTACTTCCATTTCCTGATAGCTGCCTGTCCCTGCATTCCATCAGGTCTATTCTGAGTCAAATATCTCTGGGAGGCCCACACATTAATCCATTATTGACCAAGGCACCTTATGCAGAGGTAGTTTATCAGTTCCTACCCTCAAGGTTTTCCTGAGAGGAGATGCACATCTCTGAGAAGAAGGGTAATGCTGGGGGCTTGGACCACTGCCCAGAGCAGCAGGTCTGGGCCCTGAAGCCCCAGGTGTATGCTGAGAGCGCCAGGTATCTAAGCAGGAGAGAGTCAGGGCCACAGAGGCCAAGCCCATAGACCTATGCTGCAATCCTGCCTTTGCTTGCCTCTGCTCTTCTCCACTATCTCAATGTACAAATTTGAAAAGAGAACATTTTACGAGAATATTATAAACTTACATTTTCAGAGTTTCCAGTTGTCAGAGCCTAGAAGGGACCTCAGAGACCAATATATGAACAAAAGAGTGAGACACAGGTAGCTGAAGTAAATTGCCCAAGTTACTTGGCTGGTGAAGATCAGGCCTAGCTTCTCCTTACTTCCCTAAGTGAGAGCCAGATGGCCCTTCCCTGGTGCAAAGAAATCAATTATTTACTTGATTGCTGCAAGCTTTAGACTGAACGTTCCTTGAGAAATAGGATCGTTCATTAAATTATTCAGCAAACATCTATTGCACTTGGCAGGAGCTGATGTGGAGGCAGGGAAGCAAATAAGCAACAACTTGACAGAAGGCTACCAGTAAATAGTAGGTGGAAAGCATTTAGCACGATGCTTGGCCCCCAGTAAGTGCTCAATACATGGTGGCTTCTACAAAAGTATTATTCTTCTAGTGAGATGGAAATATGGAGAGAAAGGTAGGCAAACTCACGTGACACACTGATGCAGGATTAAGAGCAGAGGAATGATCCTATCAGAGTTTAGGAAGGTCACTCTGGCAAAACTTTGGAGGATGAGAGTTAAGAAAAAGAGATCAGTTACACTGCTCTCCAGAGGGTTCAAGTAAACAGTGATGAAAAGCTGAACTACAACTGTGAAGCTGCAGATGGAAAGAAGGGAAAGTTTCTAGAGGTAGTTCAAGACATATAATTCCAAAGGGTGAGTGGGAGAGGTCGAGAGAGGGGAGACACAAAGCCAACTCCTGGTCTGGACTCTTACGGATGCCCATGATGGCCTTTATCAGGATACAGTCCCCTAGCTGCTACTTTACAAAAGAAGAAAATGAGGTCAAGTTAGGGAAAGTTATTTTGGGGGATGCCTAAAAGACATGTGAGGGGCATATGTCCCAGAGGTATGCATATTTCCAGGTTTATAGTTCAGGAGAAAGGTCCGAGCTTGAGGAACTAGCATGGACACAATCACCCTACAGGTCGGAGCCAAAGCAGTGAGGGCTAGATAAAATGTACACATTCAGAACACATAGACACAGGGAGGGGAACATCACACACCAGGGGCTGTCAAATCAAAGATCTCCATCTTTTTGACTCCCAGGCTAGTATTCTTTCTACAACAACATATTATTTATATTTAATGCTTTTAGGAAAGTTCAAAATGCTGTTTTCAAAAATGTATATTGAAATTTCCATTTTGAAGACAGGCTATGAATACTGTCAAAGAATCTATTTGGTTCATGATAAGAACCTATGTTTGAGTGCTTCGGGATTTTATTGTCTTTGTTTTTGCTTTTGTTCATATAGATTCACAGACTAGTGGCTTCCTTAAAAGATGCTAGATTGCTTACAATAAAAAAACACCAATAGCAATGTACACAGAGTAGTCCAAATAAAAACAGAGCAAAACCATACAAAGGGAGAGATAATTGCCCTAGATAAATCAGGATGAGATCATTACCATGGCCTAGGGGAGGGATAGCATCAGGAGAAATACTTAATGTAGGTGACGGGTTGATGGGTGCAGCAAACTACCATGGCACGTATATGCCTATGTAATAAACCTGCAGGTTCTGCACATGTATCCCAGAACTTAAAGTATAATAAAAAAAAAAAAGAAAAAAGAAAAAGAAAGGAAGGGAAGGAGGGAGGGAGGGGAAAAGAAAAGAAAAGAAGAAAAAAAAGGAAAAGAAAAGGGAAAGTGGAACACAAAAGACACAAAAGCAGAGAATTATCTCAGTAGATTTCATCTGAGGCATATTAAACACTAAACAAAAAATGTACCCACTCAACTAGTATTTATTAACACCCTATTGTTTGCCAAACACTGAAACAAGTCATAAGGCTAAAGCAGAAAATAAGAAAGAGAAGGCCCCTGCCCTCAAAGAGGTTATATTCTGATGAGGAGAGTCAGAATACACACACACACACACACACACACACACACACACACACACACACACATAATGAAAGGAAAATATTAGCTAGTAAAAGCACTGAGCAAAGAATTGAATTAGGATATGATGTGATAGACATGGGCTACGTAGTTCCTTTTTGTTTGCTCAGGAAAGAGTTTGAGAAGCATAAGATGGGGCTGAAGACAAGGTGCAGGGACCCACATTTGTGGGCCGAGCACAAATGAGCAGCCCCAAGCACAGAGGGCTCAGCACCCGGCACCAAGCATGTCATATGGATCGAGACATCTAGACTTTTGGTCTATGCTCTTATTTGGAGGTCATGCCATCACCTCCAAACTAGAACCCCCAGGAACAACTCTAGTGGTTCATTATTTCATTTGGTAGCTATATATAAAAATAAATATATATATATAAAAAATATATCTATCTATATATATATAGAGAGAGAGAGAGAGCCCAGCAGTAGGGGATGCTGCAGGGAACAACACCATTGAGCTCCCTGCCCTCAGAAAGCTCACATGCAAATAGGAGAAGACACACACAGCACACACACATAGATGCGCTACCCCCAAGTAAACAGATCTCTAAATAAAATAACTGTAAGTTGTGCTAAGTGCTGGGAAAAATATAAACAAGTGGCTAAGAATAACAGCAGGTGATCTACTCTAGATAGGATCTAGAAAGCCCCTCGGAATGAAAGCCCCTCTGGGAGCCGGCATTTCAGATGAGTCCTAGAGTTTGCTAGGCAGAGGGTAGTAGTGACTGCATTCCAGGCAGAGGGAACTGGGTGTGCATAGGCCAAGAGTCAGGAAAGAGCTTGATGTGTTTGAGAAATCGAAAGACAGTCAGTGAGGCCAAAAGACAGGGCTGCAGAAAAAGAGGTGATAACACTGGAAATACAAACAGACTCACATCACTCAAGGCCTTGCTGGCTGCAGTCAAATGTTTGGATCTTATTGTGAGGACAATGGCAAGCCACTGAAGGATTTTTCAAGCCAGACGAAACCTGAATCTGATCTGAGTTTCATTTTAAGGAATTTCTGGGACGGGGAGGTCCTTCTTTTTGAGCATGCAGCTCCTTGAGGCTACCCCTCCAATCACAGCATAGTGGTCTTTTATCCCACCCACAATTAGGGTCAGGCCTCCATCTGCAAAGCAACTTTTCCTCCTTGGATCGCCTGCCTGGCCTAAGTGCTTCCCAAAAAGCCCTATAAACTCACTAAAGTGTTTCCAATAGACTTTGCAAGTGTTGGAAAAATGGATGCTTTTGTAAAAGGACACAAATAATAAAACAAAACCACTCCCTCATTTCTGATGGAAATTTCTTGCTTTCTCCTCCACTGCTTTCCATTAGCCCATGGCCTGAGTAATTGTCTCTGCTCTTTACTGTCTCCATTTATTTTCCAAAACACTATGAACATGTGTATGTGACTATGAACAATAACAAAGAACTATAAATTCTTATTGATCCCAGAAGGTTGGGAATTCTAAACAATAAAAATATGTCCTCTGACTGCTTCTCTCCAAAGAACATTTTGGAGACACAAAAGAGCTTTGTTAAAACAACAAATGAGCTCTTCGGACACTCTGGGCCTAATGGTGGGCTCCAGGCCACCAGGTAGTGATGCAATAGGCGACTGCAGACACAAAGTTGGAAAGATCTCCCTGCTACCCTCTCCTGGGCTCACTTCCTCATTTCTCAGCCCACATCTTGACTGCATCAAGCAGAGTTTACTATATAGCTTTCAGCCACTATCCTTGTCAGGAGCCAGAATTCTCAGCTTAAAGAGAAAGTCCCCTTTGTCCTCTATCCATGATTTAATTTATTCTCCTAAACGCTCCATTCACTTTGTTTTCAGCCTAAGAAGTCTCACAATTGTACTAGACCCTGAATTTGAATTTCCCTGTGTTTCCGCTGTTTGAAAATTTGCCTCGGTCAGCCACTGGATAGTCCCAGAATTCAGCTTCACCTTAGAGAAAACCTTGATCAAGATTTGTTATAATATTTCCCACTACTGTCACATATTTTTCCCTCGATTCCTGTATTTTCATGTCTTTCAGAATACATATATGTGTACAAGCACACGTATACACAGATGCATACATATCACCTTTGCTCTGATAATCGGTGAAGTTTTTACTATTTTCCAACTTCATCACATTCCTGGAGATGTCCCTCCTTTGTCCCCCAGATTTCGGTGGTGGGGAGGCGCTCTTAGCAGTGCTTTTTTCTGTCTTTCTCACTCAGATGCACCATTCCTGGCATTCTGCTGATCCTTCAACTCCCTGATTCATAAGACAATGTCACCAACTGACTTTCTATGCTCTTGTCCCTCTGTTCCCATGTACAAACTCCTTTTATATGTAAATTCATAACATTTACTAGAGTATTAGTGGCCAAAACTTGACTACAAAATAATACAAACTCAAAGAAATGCCAATTCCTAATAAAAAATAGTTAACTGATTAGGAAAGAAACAGTTCTTTCTGTTCTTTGGACAACCTTGAGGGGAAAACAGATGACTGTTAGCAGAATATGGCTTACCTGAATGTATTATAATCCACCTTCTTTGTGTGCTTACGGTCAGCAGCTCTGAATACCTGCTTGAGCTCTCTGGATTTTGCTTCTTCTTGCTTCAGCTTTTGTAGGGCAAGTTTGAGGTTACTGAAAGGATACTGTAAGGGGGAAATGAAAGGAAAAACATATTTAAATATTCCTAACAGTTCAGGAGCCCAATCTTGCTCATGGCCAGTAAAGGGACTTCACACTGTGCACATGAAGTTAGCAGGTTTGTCTTTGCAAAGAAACCAACACCGAGAAGGCATGACTAGCTTTGAATCTCCTCAGTTAAAGCTTCTGGACAACAGCTGACATCAGCATAGGCCCCAGCTCTGAGGGAAACGAGCTTAAGGAACACGAGGCCACAGAGATCAGAAAACAACCCCTGCTTCCATCTCAGCCTCCTCCCTATAACCCTTGGATGTCGGCCCAATATGTTGGGAGATCCTAACGGAGAAAATGGGGATTCAAAACTGGGTAAGTAGCCCTCCATTTTCTCTAGATCTTTAGAATGGGGTCCCCCTGGAACTGTTATCCATTAGGCAACGCACTGATGAGCGCAAGGCTGGGTATGGAAGACCCACACAGGCACCCTAACCCCTCGCACAGTCATTCTCTGGGCTGTCTACTGTTCCTGTCTCTTATCCTGTGACTAGCTTTTTGACTTGGTAAGAATACTTCTTGCATCCCAGTGAAACATAAGGTCGTAAATAATTATAGCTAAGAGATCAAAAATGAGAAGATGAAATTTTAAAATAAAAACGTTGATGGCAATTTAGTCTAAAGATCCCTCTCTCCCACCAGAAAATGACCCAGGTGGTTTGGCGCCTATCCGCAGACCCCTACTCCTCCCACTTTTTTGCATTTCCTTTCATCTATTTCCATGACAGGATCTATTAGCTCTTTTGAAAAGATTCCTCAGGCCGATATTAAATAGTATAGCAAACTTTCTCTGCTTAGAATGTCTTTGTTAAGGGCAGTTTTAAAATAATGCAGTTTTCACTTGGGATGCTGATTCCAGATAATGTCCTACCCTGCTTTTATTGTCCCCAAAGGAAAAAAAAAAAAAAAACCTTTATATCTTATATTTATACTATATATATTTTATATTACGGTATAGGTTCACCCTCTGATTGGAAATAGAATTCTAATTTACAATAGTAACACTGATTGAGCTTACCATGGGCCTCATGGTTAGCTCAGAGCTTCACACACATTATCACATCTAATCTTCATAGCAATTCTATCAAATAGGCACTGTTGTTCCTTCCATTCCAAAGATGAAGAAACTGAAGCTCAGGAAAAATACGTATCTAAGGTCCCTCAGCTATTAACGTGGAGTCAGGTTCCCAAGCCAGGCCTGCTGGTTTCCAGAAATCTAAACTCCCGATTACTGAGCTTCTCGTCTAGCTTCAGTGTTTTTGAATAGCTCCTGGTTCATGGTTTTATGATAACCTGCATCCCTAAGACTATAAATGGAGAGATGGTGTGGCAGCCATGGAGGGCGCTTTGCAGGCCTCCTGTCAAGAGAGACCCTGTGGAGAAGAGCATCATTGCCTGACAGACTCCAGCTGCCATATCTTCCAGATTCACACAGAGTTCACAGGCAATGTCGCTGCTGGGGCCACCCTCTCCCCAGGCTGTTCCCACCCAATGACACAGCACAGCAGGGGAACTAGAGCCAGGCCATTCCTGCCTGACAGGGGACCTCTCTGATGGGCAGTCTGTGCTCTGGGGCTCCCCTTCACTGAGAAAGCGAGACATTCTCAGAGCTGCGCTGTCAGCTGAGGCTTTCCCTACCCACCCCTCCTTCCTTTCTGTCTCCTTCCACAGGGGTTCAACCTGTCTCCTGGTCTGAAGGCCCCCCTGCCCGCTCCTGTCCCCCTCCCCCTTTATCCTTCTCAGAAATTTCCCCCACGACATCTCTCACACTTCTCATTCTGTCTTGGCGTCTGCTTCTCAGAGGACCCAAACTGATATGAATGATGTGATGTACACAGAGACACTGATCTTAGCAACTTAACCCCAGGCATTTTATATATAAATGAGACAAAATTGGCACTGTATGTATATAAATGGTACATAAATATTATCACTTACAGGTAAACTTTTAAAATAAAATTTTCCAGATAGATTTTTCATATTAGGCAATGATTCCCAAATAAACATGTTTGTACACTGAACTAGCCCACATTTAAAATCCAGATTTTATCAATATGTTATTTTTACTGAACAGCATTGCCATAATGGCACCTGCAGTAACAGTACCCATCTGCCATCTTATTTCAAAAAAAAAAAAAAAAAAAAACTCTTTGAGCTCACTGTCGCCAGTTTATCCTGAAATCCTTATTTAGGCCTCAGGTGGCCACTGTTATGGGAAGTTGCAACTCCAGCAACTATTCAGTTCCCTTGAGGTTTCTGTTTGTTCAGGTCTTGGCCTTCTCTGTTGGCCTGTGCCAATTAACTGGGACGGCACAGTGTGTGGCACCAGATTTTTCTTCCTTTCCTATAGTAGTTGAATTTCTTTCTGAAAACATTGTTAGTGTCAGCAAAAAACCCAGGAAACTTGATTCAACCCTGGCCCTGCCTCCTGCCTGTGCCTGGAATCTGTGATGCTGGGCAGAGGAGAACCCAGCATGTAAACAGAGTAGACAAGAACCTGGCCTCTGTGATGGGACATGTGGCCAAGTCACACGAATCCATTATTCATGCCCACATGTATGAATGCACAATGTAAAACTGGTGGCAAGATGAAGAAGAAAAGGCCCTAGAGAAAGAAAAACACAGACTGCAGAGGGCTGAGAGGCAAGTGAAGAATTACACAAAGTGAATTCACCTTATCTGTATTCTGCTCCATGTAGTTTAAGGTATACTCATCAGCATTGAGCAAACGAAATAGGTAACCATTCACATTCACTGTGACTCCAATGTACAGGTCCTCAGCCTTGATATATTCAGATAGTTCACTTTTAAAGACTTCTTGTCCAGGTTTCTTAACGCGACTTCTTTTCAAGAACATCCCACCGGTAATTCCTATAGAAAAATAGAAAAGTTCATGAGCAGCCTTTATTCTTAAAAGAACCATCTGACTTGCCTTCAGAGTTACTTTATCTTCAAGCACAGACCACCATATAAGTTACCTGTGAACTAATATTGCCTATTGTTTTGGACTTAAGGGAAGAATGAGGCAGTGAGTGAAGGAGTAAGAATTCCTAGGCAAGGGTGTTCAAGACAAAAAGCAAAGCCGGGCATGGTGGCATGTGCCTGCAGTCCCAGCAACGCAAGACGCTGAGGCACGAGGATCGCCTGAGGCCAGGAGTACAAGACCAGCCTGAGCAGCATAGCAAGATTCCATCTCAAAAAAAAAAAAAAAAAAAAGAGAGAGAGAGAGAGAAAAAAAAATGATGTGTAATTCTAGCCTTTTTTTCTCTCTCTCTACTCTCTTCCCAGTCCAATAAGCATTTGGCAGGGACCTCCTATATATGCCCAGCAGCATACTGGGAGTGTGGAACATCAGGAAGATACTCATCTTTAGAGCATGTTTGAACAGTACCAGTTAGAAAATTCCTCACTTGTGCATATTTCCACCTATTTGTCCCAGATGATGTCTTATATTTAATCTGACATGCAGATTAAGTAGCAAATGCCCTACTTCTGTAAAGGAGATTACTTAAGTGTTTAAAGGTAACTATGGGAGTCCCCTTAAGTCATTTTTTCCTACAGGTAAAATCCCTTTGCTTCTTTTAGTAATGCTTCATATTAGTTTCCAGAGCTGTCACCATTTCATCTGTTCTCTTCTAGACATTATTTGTTTTGACCTCTTGGAAAGTAGGCAGTAGAGTTGAACAGGGAACTCCAGCATCTTCTGATACTGAACTGAAATCTACAGACCTATAAATATAGCCTGAGACCAGATAAGCTTTTGGGCCACTTCATCCCACTTCTCCTACCACATTCAGAAATGATAGGTGGTAAAAAGACACAGGCTTCCGAGTTCTGTCACTTACTTGCTGGGTGATCTTTAGGAGTTATTTAATCTCTCTGAATTCTTATTGGTACAATGGGAATCAGATGTGTGGAGGCCCAGAAAATGTACTTCTCAGGTCGCCTATAGTGAAGAACATAACTGATGGAAGGCCCCAGCTGTTGTGTTCTCAAATCAATCTTCAGGTGTGTGTTGAGGTCACTCTTCCCACAGGCTGCTACCAATAGATGAGTGACCAAGGCAGGGATAGTAAGACAGGCTCACTCCTACAAAACAAGGACTCCTCCAACTAGCAACTTTGCCTCAAGGACTCCCTGTCGACCTTGTCGAAATTTTCTTAGAATTTCACTGCAGTCTAAGACTCCCTCTTTCTTCCTTCCCTCTGAGCTTCACAGGTGTCAGAACTGCACTATAGTCTGACACCAGCCTCTTCTGGCTCCTTCCACATTTTCCCTCACCAGCATTCCCCCTATTAAATCTCTTGCACATTTAATCCTGTCTTGGTAGTTGCTTCTCGGAGGAGCTGGACTAACACAAAATCTAACCTCATAAAGTCCTTGTAAGGATAATAGTAAGTTCTCAATCATGGCCACTGTGATTACTAGTAAGCTTGCTGTTGACTACCATCACTCCTTTCTGTTTCACACATGCTGCAACTTGTTGGGCCACATCTCCCCCATTCTAAGTGTATAGAGTTGATTTTTGACCTGTAAGAGCATGACTTATATTCATCCCTATGCAATTTCATATTTTAAGATTTGATCCATTATTCAAATCACTGTGGAGCCTTAGTTATACAAGTTATTCATTACTCATCGGTGTGCTAAGTAGCTCATATCAGCTCATAGGAGCTGAGAGTCGAATTTTCAGAGATTTTGCAAGCCAGTTTTTAAACTCTTGGCTGCTTGAAATTGGCCATGGTTGGGGTATTCACACCATGGAAACTGGCAAACAGTACAAATCAGGGCTTTTAAAATCTTTTCAAAGAGCCACTTAACCAGCACATCACTGATTATTCTTCCCAAATGCATGTCTTCAGCACAGATAAAAGTTCTAAACGTGTTGAGACAAAGAACAGGATCCTACAGTGCCATGATTGGGTAAGTCAATGGCTCTCCTCGGCAGTGATGGTGGTACCAGCATATTGCAGAGAGGCATTCTATGGGTCTGAGCGCGGGAACCTTGGCAACAACCTCAACAGACAGAAGGACCAGATAAAGATGGACCCTGACGATTGAATTTGTGTATCTGGGATTCTTGTCTTACAGCCAAACAAAAATTTTGTAAGTAGGACTATCAAGAATACAGACTTCCTCTTGGCTTGCTGGCTACAAGTAAAACTAGTGGTACCCAGACCACGAATTTGAAGCCCTTGGGTTCCATAGAGGTGCCTCAGAAGTCACAGTGGAAGTGGGGATAGTGGCAAAAAGGAAGTAACTCCAGGTCCCCTGGCCCTAAGCCAACCAAAACTGTTTCACTTCTATCATTTTAAATGTTTAGGTTCCCATTTAAGAGATTTGTAAAAAGAACTCTATTGTTCGGGTTTTTTTTTTTTTTTTTTTTAATAAAGCCTCTATTGTAGATAATCTAGGCTACAAAACCAGATCATGTTCCCTAATTTTCAACATGAAGAGACACTTAAAACATTCTCAAGAAAATACTGTGAGAAGGATATCTCTTACCTGAATTCCTCTCTATAGGTTCAAACACTGAAATGGTGTCATCACTGAGATAATATGAAATAACAAACATCCTGTCCAAGTCAACACATTTGTCTGTGACTAGTTTTGCAAAAAAACGGAGTATATTGCTGTTGAAGCCATAGCTAAATGGAACAGAAATGAGAGTTACAGCATTATACAGGTAATCTTCCACATATTATGTTTTTAAAAGTCTGCAAAAGGTATAATATGGCTTTAATATAGTAGGCATAAACTGTCCAAAGTGAAAGAGTTCAACCGTCTTCTAATTAAGGTTCTAAATCTAAATGCAGAGGAATTTTCTCAGTATATTAAGATATCTCTGATTCTTCACATGTCCTGGGTAACACATTGGGAAAATGAACCCAAAACAAACGTCATAAACACACTGCTCAAACCAGCTGCGCTAACTGGCTGTTCTCTAATGACGAGGCTAGTCACCAATCACAATAATCATGCTGGAAAGAAGAGCAAGCACCTAGCCCTACTGCGTGGGCAATCCTGGGCTCTGCCAGTATCTGAGGCTACCTCCCCCATTCACCACTCACTGTCTCATGCCCTTTGCTTTTCTGTTTTCCAGCCCACATCCTCCCCTCTCTGACTCACTCCTCCAGCTCCCCAGCATCCCCCCAACTTTCTTCAAGAGACAAATTAACTTTTCCTTTTCAAATGCTATAATACATAGGATGGACCCACCTTTTTTTTTTTTTAATAGCGCTTATCACTCATATTGTAAGCCATTACAAGTCTGTTTTCCAAGGACAAAGACTGTCTTATTAACCATTATCTAATATAATACTTTTTTACATTATAAGTATTCAATAAATGTTTATGGAAAATTGTTATGAGATCTGTATTGATTGGAATTTGCACTCAGAATTTTATGCATAGATAAAGATAGGATGAAATTACAGAATTAAAAGTTACCAAAGTTGATTGCCTGGTCACTGAAGAAACTGATTTGTGATCTGTCAGCAGAAGCATGTCTGCGGATATCAGCTAGTGAAAGGTGGACTTTGTAACAAACAGCAAACCCTTGGAGAGGTCTTTGATAACTAAAATCATTACCCCAGGGAGATACACAGGATAATAAACCATGTCCTCTGTCACAACTCTACGCAGAGAAGTCTTCCCTTGCAGGGTCTCCTAGGCTGAAAATCATTCTTTCCTTGTGTCCACAGTGATTAGAAAAATAAAACAAGTATTTCTGACTTGCAGAGGCAAAAAGTGCTTTTCTCTGCCCCTTTCTCGGGCTGTACAAGAATGACGGCTGAGAAAGGATGGCACCAAGATTCCTAGGCTTGAGGCCCCATGTGAGATGGTATGCAGCAGTTTGGAAAGCTCACCCCAAAACAGCCTGAGCAAAGCAGCCAGGTCTGCATGGCTGTTTTCTCAGTACCCAGTTCCCAGGCTTCAGACAGACCTCATACAGTGCGTGGGGCGCGGGGAGAAGCTATGCCTTGTCAACCATCTTCGCTGGTACATAATTGGGTTTGTAAGTAACAAATAGATTTGGTAGCCCCTCTCACACAAAAAAGCCATAACATTTCAGATACCCGAAATATCACTGAGACAGGATAGGTTTAACTTCAGGAAAAGGAATATTACTGTAAATTTAACTTCTTATAATTTATAAGTGTATATGTTAAGTGTGGGTTCTTCACACGTTCAATATGCCTTTTTTTTTTTTTTTTTTTACCTAAATCTAGTGTTCTGGAGATCTCATCAATCGAGAATATAATCTACTCAATAAAATTTTCAGACTAGCAGTTCACAAAGTTTATTGTATATAAAAATCACCTGGGGAGCTTGTTAAATATACAGAATCCAGAGTCCCATCCCCAGAGATACGGGGGGATTCAGTAGCTAGCTCACATCTCCAGAAACCTGCATTATTAATAAGCACCCCAGAAGATTCTGATAAGGTGGTCCCCTGGGCATACTTTGAGAAGCACTGCAAGTGTCTTCAGATATTTCCCTAATAACTACTTCTCAAACTTCCCAGAATATTCTTTTTTATCACAATACTCCAGCTGACCACCTACTTATACCTCCTGCATCAATTGTAAGGTCACACCCAATTTAGCTCTATATAGACTTGTACTCTTGGATGGTTGTTTTAAAAATGTGTTTGTTCCCGTTGTCCCCAAACAAATTATAAATTCCTAGGTCCAGAAGCCATGGCTTAACTTTTTCTACGTACAGCTCGGAGTTATCTAAAATCATTATGTCAAATTCTTCTCCCATTTTCTCTCGAATCCATTTCCATTAGGTTTGCTCTACCTAAACTGCTCTTGTAGAGGTCAACAATGATCTCCACAATGCCAATTCCAATGCTTAATTTTTTGTGCCTATCTAACTTAACCAATCAGCAGCAACCGGCACAAATGATCACTCCTTCAGTGTTACTCTTGCTTCACTGGCTTCCGGGATCCAGCATTCTCTTGGTTTTGCTCCTACCTCCTTGTTTGCTCCTTTTTAGTCTCCTTTGTTGGTTCCTCCTTTTTTCCCCAAGTTCCTAATTGGGGATGTTTCAGAGTTTATTCCTTGGTCATGTTCCGCTCTATGTATATTCACTCCCTTGGTGATCTCATCCAATCTCAAGGCTTTAATACCATTTGGTATCATGGCTTTAAATACCATCTACATGCTGATGGTATCCATGTCCACCTATCTTCTGAACCCTATACTCACACATGTATTCAATTGCCTACTTGGTATTGCCACTTGATATCTAATAGACATCCCAAACTTAACTCATTCTAAAACTGAACTTCTACTCTTGTCCCTAAACCTATCCCATCTCCAGTCTTTCTCATCTCAGTGGATGGCAACTCCACCCTTCTAGTTGCTCAAGCCCAAATTTTGAGTCATCTTAACTCCTCACTTCTTTCATACTTCATAACCAGTTTGTCAGGGAATCCCACTGGCCCTACCCTCAAAATATTTCCAGGATCCACTATTTAATTTCACCACTTCCACTGCACTCACCCAGATCTGAGCCACCAAAACTTTTCTCTTGGATTACTGCAGTAGCTTCTTACCCGGTCTTAATTTCCACCATTGCCATCTATAGTCTGCTCTCAACATTACACTGGAATGATTCTTTTAAAAAGAAAATCAGCTCAAGTCACTTCTCTGCTCAAATTTTCTAATGGCCCCCTTATCACTCAAAGTCAAAGCGTCCTTAAACAGTCCGTAAAGCCCTGTGTACCCAGTTCCCCATACACTCTCATCTCCTCTCCATGTGCTCTGCCCTTTACTCATCTACTCCATCCATGTCGGCCTCCCGGATGCTCCTTGAATATCCCAAGCACACTTCTTGCTCAGGGCCTTTACACCGACTGTTCCTTTTGCCTGGAGCACATTTCCTCTCCTCAGTAAAGTCCCTCAAGACCACACTATTTAAAATTGCAACCAAGAACGTTCCTCAGCCCCATACTCCCAATCTGCCTTTATTCTTTCCACAGCAACTTAATACCTTCTTTATTTTTTTATGGTACTTAACATCTTGTAAATATTTCGTAATTTACTTATGTATTAATTGATGGTCCACCTCCCAGAACTAGAATATAAGTTCCACGATGGCAGGCCTTGGTGTCTATTTTGTTCGCTGATGTATCCCAAACACTCAGAACATTGCTTGGCACACAGCAGGGATTCAAGAAATAGTTGTTCACTAAGATAATGAATGGCTCATCCAGGGCTATACACCTACTAAAAACCTCAAATATAGCTACAGCTATAGAATCTTATGGTTGGAAGACACACGAAGGCTTATTTTTATTAATGGGGAAACACTTTTAAAAGAAGGAAAAAAATGACTGGTGGGGAAAGCAGATGGACAATATCTGTAACAAGATAGAGATGAAGATTAAACCACGAATTTTTGGATGCTATATGGCTATGACTGGCACAAATCTGGGATAATAACCCTCCCAGTGAGAAGTCATCTGTCTCTTCTATCCATGATTAAGAACTGGATGAGTGAACATTTATTCTATTTGCTCACTTCTTCATCCATTCCTTCTCTTCTTAGACAAACTATTGATCCCCAAATATATAGCCAGCACCAGCTCTTATGGAAGCAATAAAGCTGGCCCCTGCCCTCAAGGAGCTCTTGGTCTAAAAGGAGCCCACAAATTACATAAACAAGTCCTTAACATGCACTGTTATATGTATAGATTCTGTCGAAAGACAGGTAAATTCCAGAAGTCAGATTTCCCTGGGTTCAGTTCCTAGTTCAACTAAAAATTAGCTGTGTGACCTTGAGGAAGTTGCATGGCCTCTCTGAGCCTCAGTTTTCTCATGTAAAAAATGGGTACAATAACATTATCTACTTTCCAAAGATTTGATGATTAAATTAGATTAAGTATTGTAACATAGCACATAGTAACCACTAATGGCTTATTATGAGTAATCAGCAATAGTAATAACATTATTATTAGAGATATAATCAACAGAGTACTGTGGGCACACAAAGAACAGAGTAACTAATTCAGCCTGGTGCAGCAAGAAAGATATTATCCTGGCTCTCCCTCCTCAGACTAGACAATCTGCCCAGCAGGCTACCACAGTGATATCTACCCAGATAATAAAGAAGATCTTTATATCCATCAAAAGCTCATATGCTTTAATCTGAAACTATTCCCTCCAATGACTCATAGATCAGTGTTAACCTCACAACAATAGCACCAAGTACATTTTTAATAGCAATATATATATAATCAAAGTGTCATGTACAATTTCATGTCTCAATTCACAGTTTATTTGTATTTTAAAAAACTATTCTTTGTATGCTTTGTGAAATCATCTTCCTTAGGTTCTTACAGTTTTAAAACCTTGGGTTATTCAAACTCATGTATAAGTCTCCAGCTGAATGTGCTAGTTACTATGGAAACACGGTCCCTGTGTGAGAAGAGCTTGAGGAAAGTGTATTCCTGGCACAGACTGAGCAGTGGACAGAAAGAACAAAATGAGAGACATTTGTGCCTACACTACCACCCTTCAGCCATGACAACATGACAAGAACATAGAAAACCATCTACAGTCAGTGTTCTGTGGGCAAGTTGACCCAGTGTAGACAGAAAGAGGGACTAAATCAACTACTCACAAAGAACGGTTTTCCCCTGGGTTCCAGAAGCAACACCCTGGATAATATTTCATCTTGTTTACTTATAAGAAAAATTCCCTCTCCTTTTACAATAGGGACATTCTTTCTGCCCACCTCCTTCGGGTGGCTGTCCTTAAAAACAGAAGTTAGTCGTCAAAAGTCCTACCCTGGAACCTCACCTAAACACTGTTCTCGATAAGGGAGGACAGAGTATAAGCTGGCAACCCTCTTATGTGATAAAAATCAGTGGTTCTCAAACACTGGTGTGTCTCAGAATCCCCTGGAAGACTTGAGAAAACTCAGAATGTTGAGCCCCTTCCCCAGAGCTTCTATCTCAGTCGATCTGGGTGGGGGGAGGCACAATAATTAGCATTTCTAAAAAGTACAGGGACCATTCCTAAGAAGCATCAAATCTAAAACTTAAAAATAGAACCCTAAAGTCTTTAAAAATAAAAGATTATTTCTAGAAAGACGAAGGACATCATGTCATAGCAAAGGCAGACTTTTAGACATTCTATATAATTCTTAATTGATTTTTACCACTTTTACAACTATAACACAACTACTGTTCTCTCTCCTTCGAATGTTCTACAACAACACCTGACCCCAATCAATTTTATGAAATTCAGGATGTCTTTTTCTTCTCCTTCTCCTAGACTTACCACATTCCCTTTATCAATGTTTCTCCCCCAGGATCTCCTGATCCATTATTTGCCTCACACAGGACTGCAACCCTTAGCCCACATCCTATTCAAGCACCTACAATGTTTCCCCACCACTTTTCCTCTGACTTCTTTCTCCAGGGCTTGCTCTCCCTGCAGAAGCAAAAAGTAGCCAAGGGCAGTGTCTACATTCTATCTGCATGATTTACAGGCAGGTTTTTCTCCATGTCTATTAGGAATACTTCTGGAAGTCCATCATTTAAAATTATATTCAGCCAAGTGAGAAATCTATGGTTACTGAACTCAACCAACCTCTCAAGTGAAAACAACAACATTAATCACCAAGTAACATTTTTAAAAACACGTATAAATCCTTGAAATCTCTATAGCAGGGGTTGGCAAACCACAGTCAGTGAGCCAAATCCACCAGGCCACCTGTTTTTATATGACTTTTGAGATAAGAATGGTTTTTACATTTTGAAATGGTTGGCAAAATCAAAATAAGAGTAATATTTTGTGATATGTAAAAATTATATCAAACTTGAATGTCAGTGTCCATAAAAAAAGTCTTATTGGAACACAGTCACACAACCATTTACATTCTGTCTGTGGTTGCTTTCACGCTACAAAGGCAGATCTGAGTGGTTGTGACAGACACCGTATGGCCCACAAAACCAAAAATATTTCCTATCTGACCCTTTAAGAAAGAGCTTGCTAACTCCTACTCTACATCTTTCCCATCTTCGGGAGACAGACATATAGATAGATATGGAAAGGCAACATAGATTGGAGATAATATGACTTTAGGGGCCTCCAGATGATACTTACTAAAATAAGCACTCAAGTAAGAACCTGTTAATACGTGCATGTTAATCAACCTCATTAAAAGCCTATAATAATGTCTCCCTGGACTTGCAATTAGATGAGCTGTGTGACATCTGTTTTGTCATGAGAACTATGTTATAAACCCCAAACACATTTGGGAAAGATCAGACTAAAATCATGGTTCCCTCAAGCACCTGTCTTTTTCCATAAACTTCTTGAAGTTCCTCCGATGAGGTGTGGGCTTGAGGCCTATGCAGGTACGGAGAGAATCCTCTTCAGAACCAAAACCGTTGTAAGGTGGAAATTTCCTTTCTATTTTTGGTGGAGGAGAAGGAGGCTTGCATGAAACTGAGGTAAAGTTCTCTAGAACAAAACAAAGGCAAACAAAACATCAATATTTTTTTTGCCCTGATTATGGCTGTTTTGAAAGGTTTGTTATGTTTTCAAGATCAACATGGAGATCTTTGTAGACTATTTTAAACTCTTTCAAACAAAACACAGCAAAATCCTGTGAGAGTACGTTTCAATCATGTTTACAAAAACCATGGAACTCAATAATCACCATTGGTTCAAAAGTTAAAAAAAAAAAAAAGAATCTATGTCAAATAAGTAAACGTTTATATTTTGTCATCACATTCCCATTTCTGAATATTTTTTGTTCTCCTCTGATTTTTCCAATAATATGAAAATTCATACTTGAAACTTTATGCCACTCATTCCATATTTTAACCTGTAATTTAGCCCTCTCCTATCTCAGTCAACACTCACTAATAAAATTCTTTTCCAAACAGGACTTATTCCTCACTATTCACCTTTATCCTTCCCCATCCACCATCTCCTCCTACTGCACCCTTTATTTGAGTACCCTCCATTGCCTCCAAATCAACTCCAGGTCATAGTATTTCCCTATGAAGTTCAAAAACAAACACCAAAATAAAACTTTCCTCTCACCAGCCACAGCCCCAGGTAGCTTTTGTTAAGCCCAAGAAAAGACTACAATTGCACTCAAATGCAATGAAGTGAACAAACAAAACAGAAAGAGAAAAAACTTTTAAAATAGCCAACTGCCTACTCTCTCCAAGGGAGTGCTATGCGGTAAATACTGTTGATTTTATTTATATACTTATCATCTGTGAGGAAAGAGAGATGGAGAGAGAGCTGGTAAGATATTTGTAATAGCCTAGGAGCTTTCAGGTACTCATTTGCGAGGCTGTACAACCTCAGAAGCAACCGTGCTCTCCAGAGCAAGGAACGTATTGACCCGATCTATCCAAGTCACTGTGTTTGTCTCCAACATAAATGGCAAAAAAGATGCCAGATCTTTCCTAAAACGAAACAAAACAAACTCCCACAGAATCTATTTTCTACTTCTTCTCTAAGCTTCAGTATGACATAGGTGTTTTCAATCATGAATGAAAGGAGTTCTACATAAGCAAATATTTCCTTTTCCACTGTCGATGTTCTCATAGAGGAAGAGTACAAATTTTAGTGTACACCTCTAGAAGAGAAAATGGAGATCAATTTTTCATCCAAGACAACCTAACTCTTAATATTAAGGTGGTTTTTTTGTTTTTGTTTTGTGTTTTAACTGATGATCAAAAGGCTAAGAGCTTGAGGCCATTTCTAACTCTTGTTGAAAACATTTTCAGCTTTCATATTTCCTTAGACTTCCTAGCAGCCTTTGTGTGAAATTTCCCCAAACACAATCCCCAAAAGAGTATTGTTACATCCTAACAGAGACTGCTTACAGCAGACATGTTTATAAAGGTGACTCAGTAAAAGGGGAGAGCCAGTCTGCCTGTACAGAAGTGACTTGTGAGCTTCAACTATTACTATTTTTGTGGTGATTAAAGAAAAGTCTTGGAAATAAAGAGGAGAGTTCAAATCTTGGAATTGGGCAGAATTGCAGTAGATTCTATCATTGCTAACCATTACATCTAACGCACCACTGTTTGGTCTTTCATTTCAGGAAGAGCATCATAACCATGGCAGGAGAGCTCTATGTGATTACTAAAAAATCTGGGCCTGAGCAGTTTCTTACAACAGGAGACATATACATACAACTCTACATACCAATCTAAGCAGTCTAACCAAAAGAGGACACATATTGAATCTCAAAGTAATTAGGACTGCATTCTACACTTCCCCCCAGAATTACAGGGCTTATAACACTGTTGTTTTCTCAACCATATAATTTTTGCAACAGATTTAAGTAACAAAAGAACCAATTTAGAGTTTCCTCTGCACCCACAGTGCCATCTAGTGTATAAAAGCTGAGAACTTTTCCACTCCATCATGCCTGACTTTTATACCACTACATACATCTTTTTGGAAACTCTGGCTCAAGATCCAACTTTAAATTCCATTTCTCTGGGTAATTTGCATACATTCACAAAGCTCTGAACTCACAGCTGAATGACAAGTTTCTTCACTTTGGTTTTCCATCATCCCAGCATCCCGCATGTTTTAGGTGTTCAAAAATATTCATTGAATAAATGAAAAAGTATACATTTTTGTACAAAGCATCTTCCCCAATGTCTTAAGTTGGCATTCTGCTAGATCCTGAGACAGATATATCTTTTAACTATCTGATTTCTCTAATTCCAAGTGACTTGTCAAAACATATATATATATATATATATATATATCTCGAATGTCCATCCATGGTTGACGAGATTCCAACAAATTGGCAGAGAGATGATACATATTACAAAGGAGTCTTAATGTTTCTTCGTGGTGATTTTCTATTCCCCATCTCAGTGGGAAAGACTACTGGGAAAAGCCTTCAATTTCATTGCTTATGTTCTAGTAGCCTAGAGATGAATACAGGTTTTGGGAGGCTAGAAGCTTAAATAATTTGGGCGAAGCTCTTCTAGACGAAGAATGTCAAACTACTAAGACAAAATTAGGCCAGGGCCTTGGATTGGGACCCCTGGAAAGGAAGACCTCTAAAGATTATGATTCATTAGCTTCAAGGTAAATCCACTTGTACTTGTATTCAATACCCACATCAAATGATTTCAATGAAACCTAAATTCATGAATCACATCATGTTAGAGCTATAAAATCTTTAAGAATCCTCCCATCTCAACCATCTTCATTTTATATGGGAAGCAAAAAAAACAAAATTGTTAGGTCCATCAGGACCATGTGATGAGACCAGAAGCCAATTCTATCCTATTGATGCAATTTTAAGTGTCCAGTTCCCTCAAATAATCATTAAACACTCATCTTAAATGTTCTGCTGTTCCTAAAAATTCAGAGATGGCCAGAAATGACTCCACAAAATTAAAGGTCTTTAAGATTTTTGTTCAATCTAAGTATAGCCTAATAAGTGTTCAAAAGCAATGAGAATGAACAGTCTTACTAGTTTCATTGTCCCAGCCACTAAGAAAAAATAAGAAAGTCCACTGATAGACAAATAACAACCTAAAGCAGAAATTCCTACATATGAACAGTTTACATTTGATCCCTGTCCTTTTAGTGAAAGAAACACCTGCTGGAACCCCTAGAGCCTTTTTCAACCTTCATGCTATAGGAAAGATCAACAGACCTCCATCTGCCGGTCGGTGTTCATTCACATAAAATAATGAGGGAGTGACATGCTACAGCCCAGCAGGCAAGCCAGGGCCAGAGGGATGGCCAAACTGCCTGATGGAGGGGGTCACACTGCACTATTAAAGAGAAGAAATCTATGGAATCACCTTCTCCTTAGAATCCTTAAAAGTATGAAGGAATCATCTTAAGAGATTGAGTTTTACACAGGAGCTCAAATGTCTCTTGGAATTCTAGCAAGCCCTCCACTTCTACATAAATAGAAAGGTTATCCATGTACCTTTCTTGGGACTGTGGCCAACTCCTTGTCTTTGTCTGCCATTTTTTCTCCCCCCAAAATATGTTGGGGTATCATCACACAGGAGAAGGTACTAAAGCACCAAGGCTGCATTCTGTGTTAGAAGTCTTCCCTGACTTCCTGCTAGAGAGGCCCCTAGCTGTGTTGCTGGTACTTGTCAGATCCTTCCTGCGTGCTGCACAGTGGAGACACCCAGGTTTTCTACTGAACGCAATAATTGACAAGGGAGGAAATGTGACCACGATTATTGACAGAACCACAATGATTGATGGGACTTTGTCCTGGTTTGGGTTTTAAGGATACCGAAACATAACACATGTAATTTGGTCAGTTTAAAAAATTGCTGGGACCGGATGAACTATAAATAAAATTAAAATGGCAGAAATAACTGTATCTAAGTAACATTAAGGATATTAATTTCACCTTACCAAAAAATCAGGAAAAACAAATGCAAAGATTATCAGAGAATACTGATTCATTCTCCCCTCCACCTCATCATAGATATAATTTCTAGTCTTTACTTACATTAAGTACACTGTTGTAACTCAAGAAATGTTGTGTAATAATAGTGTCTGTTAAATGGGATATTTTAACATATGTTATGAGAAATATAAAAAGTCAGTGCGACTATGAAATGCATCATAATTTTGCATTTGCATAATTTTCTGTTTAAATGCATAATGCTCATGTTATATTAGCTTTAAAGGCACAGAGTACTTTTTTTTACATAATACAATTAGTCCACAGAGTGAACAAAAGAAGTGAACAGAAAGAAATTAAGCACAAGGACTCAACTGAAATGGACCATAGGACATTTGAAGCTGGTACATTTACCCAGGATGACTCGATTTGGAGCACAACAAGGAATTCACATTGCCTCCAAAAATTTTCTAGAGAAGCCGTTAAGACCCTAACAACATACTAAGTCTCACCACTAGGACATTCATTTTCCCAAATTCAACTTTCATATTCTCACCAAGCTGACAGACAAACATCAACCAAAAGTTGGACTTTATGTTTAAGGAATCATACAATGCTTTGGAACATTTACCACGTCCTTTATATTAAGGTAATCATCAGGTGTAAGTTATGGTTTTTGGTGACTCATCTTGATATATACATTTAAATTTTCATTCTATACTAAAGACTTATGGATTCCAAACAGGGATCTACATTTATTAAAGGCCAAATTCTTTTCCCATAGTCTAAGGGCCACCAGCAGCTTCTCCAGAGCAGCTGCCACCTACACATTCCTGGCTGCTTCTTGTCCACAGTCCCCAAGGCAAATATGCCCAACTGTGTCCACTGAAGGGGACTAATTTTAGAAAATAAAATAAAAAGAGGTCACCAATTTGGCCCCAGTAGGGCCCATACATTTTGACTAATCTGGCATGCAGATGCAGTGTGACAAATTCCCCTAATGAACCTAAGAGTAAAACTGAAAGCCTTTTTTACTCTAACCCCTTTGTGTGCTTGATGTGCCTTCTCTCACAGTATAGAGACTCCCAGAAGGCCAGGAATACTACACAATGCAGACAACAAGACACATAGCATGGCTTCATCTCATTCTAGAGACAAAGCACCTTGTCTTTTAAGAAGCTGCGGTTGCACCTGGCTTCCATCTCACCCCTCGGGGAAGTGTGTTCATATGAATACTCCAAGGTTCAGAGAGAAGTACAGGACTAAGTACCCCCTATCCCAACTCCAGTCCCAAACTGGGAGGTCAGCAAGTCCCATCAATTTCTAGCAGCAGCAGGTACCTGGAGACTCAGGTAGAGGGGAGTTTAACAAATGAGGGTTTATGTTTTAGGTTTCACGTCACATCCTCCACCAGCTTCCAAGACACTCGTAACACGGTGTCACACGCTGCAGGTCTCAGTTCCCCTTCCAGCCTAGAAACTTCTTATGCAATTCTGTATCTCCTAAGTCTACTACAATGACCTACATATAGTAGGTACTCAATCAATAGCTCATTTTCATTCTGAACTGAACTAACCTTATTGGAACGGAGTTAATGTCTGAGAAGAGAGAAGCTTAAGACCTGGCTGAGCCTTACCAGGAAAGGGAGAGCAAAACTAGCAGAAGAGAATTCCCTTGATAACTCAATTAGGTATACCCATTGTGGTAAGAATTAAGTGAAAAGAAAAGCATTCATTTTCCATTTTGATTGCTCAGCCAAAACATTTACCCCATACTGGAGTGGGGCAGAGGACTATAAAGGAAAATGGAAGTCCCTGGCATCAGGCAGACAAGTTCAAATCTTGGCTCACTCTTTGCTCACTGCATAACCTTGGACAAATGAGCCCCCTTTAAGTCTCGGTTTTTTTCACCTCTAAAACGGGGATCATGAGCCTACCCATAGAGAATTGTTAGGAATATATAAGACAACAAACAGCTGGAAGATAGCAAATGCACAATAAGTGGTAGCTATTATGAGCCTAGCATTTGAAACTCCAAAGTAAAATCTTAACTGGGGAACAAAGAGTTTAATTTTAAAAATATTTTAATTGACACACGTATCACTTACCAATTCCATATTTAGACTTATAATAAGACTTCGTAAATTCATCACAGTCACAAAGGAGCACTTTTCTTCCCCACACATTGATGGTGACTCCGAGGGACAGGTCACTATCTTTGTAAAACTCTTGGTCTACTTCTCCTAGCTAATAAAGACAAAGGAACATAGCATTGGCACCATGGACCCTCCAAAGAACCAGGAACCCCTTCCCAGAGAAAAAAAGGAAATTAAAAATAAAACTTCAGTCTTTAATAACTAAATTTTAAAAATCAAATAAAAAAGCAACCAGTTGATGTTAATGTTCTAAAGTATTATTTTAACACTGTAGTATTATACTTATAAACTGCAATGCAATGCATATATTTATATAGACATTTCAGCATGCTTATTACTAATAAACAGCAGTACAATGCATATTTATGTAATCATCGATTTCATTCACAATCTCACAAGAAAAGAGTATGTAACTCGCCCCACTCTTCAGGTTCCAAAGAAGTCACCCTAGAAACAGGTAATAAAATGTGAGGTTCCTTCCCTTATATCTATCCATCAGGAAGCCATCCGCTTGGTTCTTTATAAAGTCACCATACAAATTGAGAACCGCTCGATCTGTTATCTGGCCTGGTTGATAGACTCTAGGTGGGCAATTCTGGAAGACAAAATCAAAACAAGGTGTGGTAGGATTTAATCCATTCCCTTTCTTACTATAACTCCAGGGCTGGCATACAGGTGGCACTCAATGAATATTTGTTGAATGAATGAATAAAATGAATTAACTGATGTTGGCACACTGTAAATGTCAGGTATGTCATTATTATTTTATATTTAGCCTATTTTTCAAAGTCATTCTAAAAACAGGTTTTTCTGGCACTTCCTGGTTGCCTGCTATGCGTATCCCAGGGCTCACTCTGGGACAAACTGTGCCTCCCCTGCCTCCAAGCACACGCAGTAGGGCTTCTGGCAGTGGGCTCAGAGAATCTGGAAAAACCTCCCGTGAGGACTGAATGGCCAGCAGTTATTTGCCTCGGAAATCAGTGTTATGGTAACCTTTCCATGTGCACTAAGAAGATACTTTACCCAAATAAGAAAGAAAATATAACAGAGCTTTTGAAAAAGCCTTTGTTTTTAAGTGTCCTTATAGGTGTTTACAGGTCCTTTGATGGTGCTTTTTTGTTTTTTTGTTTTTTTACTATGTTACCACATTTTAAAGACAGGGAAATAAGCTCAAAGAGGTTATGCGATTTGCCCAAGGTAGCACAACTATTAAGGGGCAGACTCACAACTCTAATCCAGGTCTGGGAAGTTTCTGCTGCCCCCAAATTACATGAGCTCTCAAATGGCCATAAATATTTATAGAAATCAATCTGACAACTCTTTTTAATATCAAATAAAATGCAAAAGTCATCACTGCCACTAGCTAGTGGCTAGTTGGTGACCAGTTGCTACACTCAGAAAAGGCACTTTGGTTTGTAAACTTGCATGTGTATGTTTGTGGGTGCATGTGTACATGCACATGTAGGTGCATGTATATAGTGTGTGTTTGTATTCACAACCTAGACCAAACCATGGGCTCTCCTCAGTAGTCTGTAGTGCCCCGTCCAAAGCCACAAGCAATTCTTTTACTAAGGAGTCATTTAGTTTCATAAAACTGGATATGAACTCAATGATGAATAGGTGCTTTCTCTTACATTTGACTTTTTTCCTTTACTTGCCTTAACTTCAATGTTCCAACTCTAATTGATCATATTCTCTGTATTACTTTCACAGATGTATATTAATAGAGAGCACAAAATGAAAGTTTTCTAAATACCTGCACCAGTGCATGGTTATTATCATCACATAGTCATAACACACAACATTCCAAACAGTGACTCTAGTCTCTTGACTCACAAGCAAATTCAGAAAGTGGTTATGTCCACTGCTCACCTTGGGCAGCTTACTCCTCCGGAGGAACATTTTTATAGCATCTTGGCCTGAGTTGTGTGGAAGCAATTCTTTGATTTCAATAGTATCATCACACAAGAAGTAATGCAGGATGAGTTTTCTACGGTCTCCAAACATTGAGACTGAGTCATCCCACAGGCAGAAGAAACACAAAATCTTGCCATGATACTGGAGGAACTGTTTCAGGGTGTCGAGGGATTCGTAGGGACGTAAGGGCTCTACGTGTTCTAGAACCTGCAAATGGAGAAAATGTCAGTAATAGTTGCAGGGTTTGCATAATCACTTCTAAGATACACACAATCAAGTGACAAATACATAAAGATACATTTTTGGTCAGGTACGGTGGCTCATGCCTGTAATCCCAGCATTTTGGGAGGCCAAAGCGGGAAGACTGAGTTCAGGAGTTCAAGATCAGCCTGGGCAACATGGCAAAAACACAACTCTTTTTTTTTTTTTTTTTTGTCGCCCAGGCTGGAGTGCAGTGGCTGGATCTCAGCTCATTGCAAGCTCCGCCTCCCGGGTTCACGCCATTCTCCTGCCTCAGCCTCCCCAGTAGCTGGGACTACAGGCGCCCGCCGCCTCACCCAGCTAGTTTTTTGTATTTTTTAGTAGAGACGGGGTTTCACTGTGTTAGCCAGGATGGTCTCGATCTCCTGACCTCGTGATCTGCCCGTCTCGGCCTCCCAAAGTGCTGGGATTACAGGCTTGAGCCACCGCGCCCGGCCAAAAACACAACTCTTAAAAAAAAACATTAGCCAGGTACGGTGTTACACGCCTGTAGTCTCAGCTACTCGGGAGGCTGAGATGGGAGAATTGTTGACCTCAGGAGGTCAAGGCTGCAGTGAGCTATGTTCACACCACTGCGCTCCAGCCTAGGCAACAGAACATGACCCTGTCTCAAAAAAAAAAAGAAAACAAAAAAGATCTACTTTTCTATAGTCTATTCTGTGATTTTGTTTTTTAATTTCAACTATGACATAGATACATATGCATCTATAACCAGTTTTAACCTTAAGAATAGAGACAAACAAGTATGAAGAAGTTTTTCATATTAAACATTAATACACTAAATTATACTTCTGGCCAGGCAGGGTGACTCACACCTGTAATCTCAGCACCTTGGGAGGCCAAGGTAGGTGGATCATTTGAGGCCAGGAGTTTGAGACCAGCCTGGTCATCCCTACTAAAAATACAAAAACATTTAGCCAGGTGTGGTGGCAGGCGCCAGTAATCCCAGCTACTCAGGAGGCTGAGGCAGGACAATTCCTTGAACCTGGGAGGCAGAGGTTGCAGTGAGCCAAGATTGTGCCACTGCACTCCAGCCTGGGCAACAGAGCAATACTCCGTATCTAAATAAATAAATAAATAAATAAATAAATAAATAAATGGAAAAAACTATACTTCTTTAATATTTTTTAAAACTGACTTTTCTCAAAGATTTAAAATTCTTATTTAAGAACAGACAAAACTAATCTATGGTAACAGAAATCAGAATAGTAATTGCCTCCAGGTAGGGAATTTGACCAGAAAGGGGGAGAAAGGAGCTTTCTAAAGTGATAAAAATATTCTACATCTCGATTTTTGTGTTGGTTACTCAACTGCACACATTTTACAAAACGTGTTGACCTATACACTTAAGATTTATACAACTGACTCTATGTTAATTATATCTCAACCAAAAACATAATTTGTCTTTTCACTGGGAAATTCATATGTGTACATAATTCTTACTCATTCAAAGATTATTGTGAAGGTAAAAGGGAAGAAATATATTCACTGTTTTATTTTAGCTCAAAAAGCTTTAGGTATCAAGGATAAGAATGCCCCGGAGAAACAGGAGCACAGCAAATGGAGAACTTAAGGTCTGCAGAGCCTCTGCCTCGGCTGTCCTCTGGCCCAGGAACCACTAGTTCCACAGTCTTCTTGATGTAACTCTTCCCTCTATTTGCACTTCTGCAGCCCTGTCGTGAAGTTAAACTGCCCCCATTTCATCTGATGTAATCAAATAGGACTGTTATATAAAGAAGTGCACACTGACAAGGGAGATGTTATCCCAAATCAGGTTATACAATCTTTTTGTAAATTCTTGAAATTTCTATCTGTTGAGGGCAGTCTAGGTGCAGTCTTAACCCAAGACAGTGGGGAGACATGATGGCTTTCCAAAGACTCTTCAGTCTTATCCCTGATATTTAAATGAAATTATGGGACCACAATTTCAATTGATTGAAAAACGTTTCTTTGGCATTATGAGGCCTCTAAGAAAAGCATTATTGATAATATACCATTGGGATTCTTTTCAGTCTAAGTTAAATTGTTTAATTTTAACTTTACAGTTCAAGACAGCAAACACTGCAGAAGTAAATGTATGAAAGTCAATATAGAAGCCTCTTATTAAACTCCTAATTTCCCAAAGATTTCTATATTTATTGAAGAATTTTCTCCCTGAGGGAATAAATGCTAAAATGATGTTCCCACTCTGAAAGGAAATTATTTAAAACATTTCTTAGCTGTTCTTGGTATTTATTCGCAATTCCTGGCACAAAAGATCTTTTTCTGGGGGTGGCTGGCAAGATGGCCGAATAGGAACAGCTCCGGTCTGCAGCTCCCAGCGAGATCAATGCAGAAGGGGGGTGATTTCTGCATTTCCAACTGAGGTATTCGGCTCATCTCATTGGGACTGGTTAGACAGTAGGTGCAGCCCAGGGAGGGCGAGCCAAAGCAGGGTGGGGCGTTGCCTCACCCAGGAAGCGCAAGGGGTCGGGGAACTCCCTCCCCTAGCCAACAGAAGCCATGAAGGACTATGCCATGAGGAACAGTGCACTCCAGCCCAGATACTATGCTTTTCCCATGGTCTTTGCAACCTTCAGACCAGGAGATTTCCTCGGGTGCCTACACCACCAGGGCCCTAGGTTTCAAGCACAAAACTGGGCAGCTGTTTGGGCAGACACCAAGCTAGCTGCAGGAGTTTTTTTTCATACCCCAGTGGCGCCTGGAACACCAGTGAGACAGAACTGCTCACTCCCCTGGAAAGGAGGTGGAAGCCAGGGAGCCAAGTGGTCTAGCTCAGTGGATCCCAACCCCACAGAGCCCAGCAAGCTAAGACCAATGGCTTGAAATTCTTGCTGCCAGCACAGCAGTCTAAAGTTGATCTGGGATGCTGGAGCTTGGTGGGGGGAGGGGCATCCGCCATTACTGAGGCTTGTGTAGGCAGTTTTCCCCTCAGAGTGTAAACAAAGCCTCCAGGAAGTTCTAACTGGGTGGGGTCCACCACAGCTTGGCAAAGATTTTGTAGTCAGACTACCTCTCTAGATTCCTTCTCTCTGGGTAAGGCATCTCTGAAAGAAAGGCAGCAGCCCTAGTCACAGGCTTATAGATAAAACTTCCATCTTCCTGGGACACAGCACATGGGGGAAGGGGTGGCTGTGGACACAGTTTCAGCAGACTTAAACGTTCCTCCTGCCAGCTCTGAAGAGAGCAGCAGATCTCCCAGCACAGCGCTCGAGCTCTGCTAAGGGACAGATTGTCTCCTCAAGTGGGTCCCTGACCCCTGTGCCTCCTGCTAGGAGACACCTCCCAGCAAGGGTTGACAGACACCTCTTACAGAAGACCTCCAGCTGGCATCTGGTGGGTGCACCTCTGGGATGAAGCTTCCAGAGGAAGGAACAGGCAGCAATTTTTGCTGTTCTGCAGCCTCCACTGGTGATACCCAGGCAAACAAGGTCTGGAGTGGACCTCCAGCAAACTCCAGCAGACCTGCAGCAGAGAAGCCTGACTATTAGAAGGAAAACTAACGAACAGAAAGGAATAGCATCAACATCAACAAAAAGGATGTCCAAATGAAAACTCCATCCAAAGGTCACCAACATCAAAGACCAAAGGTAGATAAATCCACAAAGATGAGGAAAAACCAGCACAAAAGGGCTGAAAATTCCAAAAACCAGAACACTTCTTCTCCTCCAAAGGACCACAACTTCTTGCCAGCAAGAGAACAAAACTGGACGGAGAATGAGTTTGATGAATTGACAGAAGTAGGCTTCAGAAGGTGGGTAATAACAAACTCCTCTGAGCTAAAGGAGCATGTTCTAACCCAATGCAAGGAAGCTAAGGACCTTGAAAAAAGGTTAGAGGAATTGCTAACTAGAATAACCAGCTTAGAGAAGAACATAAAAGACCTGATGGAGCTGAAAAACACAGCACGAGAACTTTGTGAAGCATACACAAGTATCAATAGCTGAATCGATCAAGCGGAAGAAAGGATATCAGAGATGGAAGATCAACTTAATGAAATAAAGCATGAAGACAAGATAAGAGAAAAAAAGAATGAAAAGGAACAAACAAAGCCTCCAAGAAATATGGGACTATGTGAAAAGACCAAACGTACGTTTGACGTACCTGAAAGTGATAGGGAGAATGGAACGAAGTTGCAAAACACTCTTCAGGATATTATCCAGGAGAACTTCCCCAACCTAGCAAGACAGGCCAACCTTCAAATTTAGGAAATACAGAGGACACCACAAAGATACTCCTCAAGAAGAGAAACCCCAAGACATATAATTGTCAGATTCACCAAGGTTGAAATGAAGGAAAAAGTGTTAAGGGCAGCCAGAGAGAAAGGTCAGGTTACCCACAAAGGGAAGCCCATCAGACTAATAGCAGGCCTCTCTGAAGAAACCCTACAAGCCACAAGAAAGTGGGGGCCAATATTCAACATCCTTAAAGAAAAGAATTTTCAACCCAGAATTTCATATCCAGCCAAACTAGGCTTCATAAGCAAGGGGGAAATAAAATCCTTTACAGACAAGCAAATACTGAAAGATTTTGTCATCGCCAGGCCTGCCTTACAGGAGCTCCTGAAGGAAGCACTAAATGTGGAAAGGAAAAACCGGTACCAGCCACCACAAAAACATACCAAATTGTAAAGACCATCGACGCTATGAAGAAACTGCATCAACTAATGGACAAAATAACCAGCTAGCATCATAATGACAGGATCAAATTCACACATAACAATTTTAACCTTAAATGTAAACAGGCTAAATGCCCCAATTAAAAGACACAGACTGGCAAATTGGATGAAGAGTCAAGACACATCGGTGTGCTGTATTCAGGAGACTCATCTCACATGCAAAGACACACATAGCTCAAAATAAAGGGAGGGAGGAAGATTTACCAAGCAAATGGAAAGCAAAAAAAAGCAGGGGTTGCTATCCTAGTCTCTGATAAAACAGACTTTA